TTTCAAAAAAAAAAAAAAAAAAAAAAAAAAACCATCCGAACGTTGGCTATTAATCGGCGGTCGAATCGATAAGAGAAAAACAGCTGCTAGCGTGCGGACAGGCGTTTAGGTGGGTCCACGTGGGCGAGCGACATGGTCTACTTAATGGGAGAGAAGCCAACGGATGGCGATTTATAGAGGTGAGTGGCAGGGAGAAAATTTGGGAAAAGAAATCAAGAACGAAATTGCAATTGCGCAGTAGGTGAAATAGAAATTTGAAAAAAGGAAATAAAAATTTCTTCAGTCACGAGGAACGATTTTTATTATCGATAAAAATTACCCGTTCCCATTTGTCTCGATGTGTTTCGCTCGCATACTCGTATCCGAGTTACGTGGGGTCCGAAGACGTCGCGACGCCCACGATACGTATTTGTAAAATACGTAAAAAAAATACCACTTTGTAAAATCAAGTACTTGATCAAATTGACGGATTTCATGAAATTGTCCACCTATGGAAGCTTTGTCTTTCTTTGTTTATCCTTACTATTCGACGCCGTCCCTCGCTGTCCTCCCACTGCGGTTTACCTTGACGTTTGAAATATATGCGTCTCCCTTATACGAGAACATTAATCGAGCTTGAGTAAATCAGGTAAGTCAATAGCGACCGGAAGAGGCGACGCCGTGTAATTGCCGTCGCGACGCTTTTGCAGGGTATAACGAAAAAAATTTTTTTTTCAATATTTAAACCACATACGATGTGGAATCGAATTTTGGATTATGAAAAGCCGCGTGAAAGAGCAAACGACAGTAAATGGCAATTGAAACGATAGAAATAAATAAGTAGCGTTGTTTTTCGTACACGTTCGAATGAAATGTCAATTTGACAGCTGACAGCTGTCACTCGGTTGAATTACCACCAACGAATTGAATGAAAATCGATAAAGCTGTCGCGTACGATTATTCCGCGTTGATGGCAAATGAAACAATAATATGACGGTAAAAACGTTACATTGACATCGTGGGTGATGGACTGGGCGATTGATAAAAAAAAAAGACAAATGAAAAGGAAAGTAAAACGAAGGAGGAAAGCGTTATTTTGCCAATCTGGTAAAGGAGATCTACTTTTTCTTTTTTTTCTTTCAGAATCACTCGTACGTACGTAGGTGCTCGAGCACCTAGTCATAACGATGCCTATCATCGTATAATAAAAATGTTTCTTTTTTTTTTCTTCTTCTCTTTATACCCCTTTCATTTCACGATACGAGCGCCGGGAAACGCATGTTTTACGGAGGAAGCGATTGAATGGAAGGAAAAAGAAAAGCAAAAAAAAATAAAAATAGTAACATCCGATACGACGCTTTGGAATAAAAGAGAAAGAAAAGAAAAAAAGAGTATAGGGTCTCTTTCGCGACCTCGTCTACGTCATTAAGATCAGAGGACTCGAATCACAGTTATTCCGGTAGGAAGTCGTTGGTAGGGAGTGGAAAAGAAAAGAAAAGTAAAAAAAAAAAAGAAAAAAAACCAACGAGAACGGGGAAATCCGTTAGTGATTAATGACGCAAAGTCCTAAGTCGTTCGTCAAGGATTTTTAGTGGCGAATAAAAAAAAAAAAAAAGAAAAGAAAAAAACATCACGCTACTGCCGGAGGCTGCATCCATCCGATGGACCCGAAGAAAGTGACATTTCTCGATAAAAATCGTATCTTCGAGACACAAAGCGTCTTCGCGATTCTCAGCCCAACCAATAAACCCAATGTCACTAGGTCTCGATGCTCTTGGGTCAGGCATCAGGAAGTCAAGACTCGAGATCAATCGACTCCAAACATACGAATCTGCTCCATTGCTCGGTCAACCGTTTTCCAAAAATTTTTCCTGCCAAATAACACCGGCCGATCCCCATCCCCCTCCAAAGCAGACACAAAGATTTTCAAAAGCCAATGGACCAATCGTTCAATCGAAGAAAGACAAAACGTTCAATCATGATGAAAACCTCATCGTTCAATCAACCTAGATGATTACCTCGAAAGAAGATCAATCAACAAGTATCAACGGTTCCATCGGACGCATCAGACATACACGCCATGCTGAACGTTTATGGTTCCAGCTGGTTCAACAGATCCACAAAGACCCAGAGGATCAGTCTTAACGCGGGTCGTTAATTCACCGCGAGACAAGCATAGTTAGCCAAGCCGACTATTAAAGAGCCCGAGATCACTTCCGGGAGCCGTGATACAGCATCCACGGATCATGGACCAACGGTAAAGGCCAGCGCAAAGGGCACGAGAGATCTTTCGGAAAAGCATCGAGGATCAATTCGTCATTATAGAGAGAGGAGTCCGGTAGCCCAATGGAAACTGACCCAGGGTACTCGAGGGCAAACGAGTCACGTTCTGGAAGTGCATACGATGCGCAATCGATAGTAACGTTCGAGAGCTCCGAAGCTCTTGTCGAGTATACCGTATCAAGGATATATATAGGAACCAGGAAGACTTAACAGAGCCAAGGAGGCAATCTGCCTTCGAGGAGGAGCCTGGGTAAGGGTTCCGGTGACATAGCCTCACGTTCCAGGAAGTCGCTACGCCATGGAGTCGAAGCGCCATCTATATTACACTGCAACAGCCACTGAAGCGAGTTCGAGGCATTTCATCTCCTCGATCCACAATTCCCTTGGTGTCTCTATGACTTACGCCCGTTCCGCACCGAGTCCCACATGTGCATGCTGAACGTAGGTTAAACCAGGTACACGAATTTTCACTGTAGCCTCGCACAGTTTGAGGCACCGTGCTACACCCGGTAGCGGATTGCGCATGCGCAAACCGCTCCGAATAACCGGTAGCTACTGAAGCGAGTTCGAGGCATTTCATCTGCTCGATCCACAATTCTCTTGGTGTCTCTATGACTTACGCCCGTTCCGCACCGAGTCCCACGTGTGCATGCTTAACGTGGGTTAAACCGGGTACACGAATTTTCACTGTAGCCTCGCACAGTTTGAGGCACCGTGCTACACCCGGTAGCGGATTGCGCATGCGCAAACCGCTCCGAATAACCGGTAGCTACTGAAGCGAGTTCGAGGCATTTCATCTGCTCGATCCACAATTCTCTTGGTGTCTCTATGACTTACGCCCGTTCCGCACCGAGTCCCACGTGTGCATGCTGAACGTAGGTTAAACCAGGTACACGAATTTTCGCTGTAGCCTCGCACAGTTTGAGGCACCGTGCTGCACCCGGTAGCGGATCGCGCATGCGCAAACCGCTCCGAATAACCGGTAGCCACTCGAGAGTGCAAGGTCGTGAGAAACCTTCAACTTTCAGTGCGATCGTCCTGACCTCCTACGTCCGCCGCCTGCAACCTCGTCCCGTATAATCAGGCACCTCGGAGAAACCTGACTTACGCTTTCGTCAATTTACTCCAACGAATTGCAGACGCGCTCGGTAGAGATTTTTCCGTTTGGTCATTGGGTTCCGTACGAGCGCGAGCTTCGGGATATGAAATGTGTTGCTTTAAAAAAAGGCTGTTCATCCGATACCTTTAATTAAAGAAAAAAGAGCAGTATAACCCAGGACGCGATAACGACGAAAGAATAGGTCGGATCGTGTTGGTAGAAACCGATAACGAGAAAAGCTTCCGTCGAGTGACAGCTCGCTGAACGATGATCGTCCATGCCGCTTGGCATCGAGCACGAAAACGTCATCGATAACCTGTTAGCCCATTTACGCTCTGTTATTATTCCCCAACCGCAGTATCCTTCGCACCGCGGAAACTAACGACGACCGAGTTCTCGGTCGGTTGTGCCTTTTTTTTTTCGTCCTGCATCCGTCAATTGCATCCTTGACGTGGACCATCCCTGTATACATGCAGACATACCTGTAGCAACGACCAGTCATGAAAATCATCGCGAACCACGTGGTTCCGTTAAAAACACCCCAACCGAACCGCCCGTCGAAATTACAGTCGTCCGCCGAAAAGTGTAGCCCGTAATAACCACCGAACGACGGCGAGCTAATTGAGAAATTTCTTTTTTCCAGACCGCCGTGAGACTACCGGAAGGCGCCAGCGCGGCTCTGGCGAAGCCTACGAAGTATCACTATTATCCTCACAATCAGCACATCTATTTGTTACCCGAGTGCGCCGTCCAGCAGGTCTGCAATGCCGTTTACGTGAGGCTCAACTTCACGCAGCCCTTGTGCGCGTGTCCGGGACGTTATCGGGATCCTTGCAGCGCGTCATTGGACAGTGACGATCATCACACAACGGAACTGGTGACGGATCCGCGTACTAAGGTACAAATTATTGCAACGTACTTCCCATACATTACAGAAGGATTCCCTCTACGTCGGAGGACGTCGTAATAGGACGCTGATATAGGAACTTAACACAGCGCTCACGGGCAGACTGGGTATTTCATCGAAACTATCTGAACAAGTAAATTCCTCATTAATCCGGAAGCGTATAATTACACGTAAACGTAATGCTAGCTCTGATGACGTAGTACCTGAAACCAGGTACTACATAAACTTTGATAACAAAGAGGAGATACTCCGTCAACGTGCAAGACCCTTTTGTTCGGTCAAGTTTTGATAAATCGACTGACGTCATCGGACGTGTAAAATGGCCTGGAGTTGTTAATGAAGGCGCTTATCGGCGTAGAGACAATTTTCTGATAAGGCCATTCTAAACCGGATATGGGTATGCCCGCGCAAGTATGCCATTGGGAAAGAGAAAAGAAAAAAGATGAAGTCTCACTGAACAAGGATAGACCTGGAGTTTACGTGGGTAAACGATGCGAATCGATTAAAGAGTAAAACGAACAAACACAGTTCGACCTGCCTACTGACACTGATTCGCTAATTGAATAAAAACGACATTCGGTCCAGGAGCGAGTGCAGCTTGGAAACTAAGTGATGCTTACGATTCATAAGGAAAAACAAATTATAAGCTTGCTCGAGGATCAATTAGTTCCTTGGTCCAGGGAAGGAGGTAGGCAACCTACTGAGATGAGATCAGCGCCTGTCCACGTTCTGTATATACGGTGCAACATGAGGTACCCGACATTACCTGCTGATAGTACGGTCAGGATACGTCCAAGATATGTGGAACGAACGGACGTTTGCATACAGACGTTTTGTCTTTCTCCAACGAGCCGTTTACCTCTGTCCCAGCATCCTCGATCGATCCTGCCTTCTCATCTCCCTCCGTCCCTATCGCTACGCTCGCGATACCGTCTAAGCTGGCATTAAATCGATATCTGGTGCATATCGAGGATCGGGTCGACCCAGTCCGGCGCTCAAGAGGGTAATGGAAGATACCTGCATAACCGACCCGCCTCTTATCAGTCCAGAAGACTGCGTCCGTATAAATCAAGGCTATCGAAGATTTATTTCATTCCACTTTGCGTTCGAGTCTTACGAGTAATTTATTGAGCGACCGCTATGCAATTTGCAAGTTCATGCAACAGACAGGGTGTGTACGAATTTATTTTTGTGTCGAAGAAAAATATGCTAATACCAACAAAATAATCTGGCATCAATTTTTCGTTTGAGAATACATTTGGTAATAGGGATCCGAGTCGATTTATTATTATTATTCTATGAAAATATCAAACTTTAATAGACCCTTCTAGTAGCTCCGGTCTAACGGCCGTGTAGAGGGTACACATCTTCGCGTCCACTTAGACTCATTAATGCACGCGCCAATTCGAAACTTTTCACTCGAGTTCACGCCGTTCTCCCATAAATTTAAACGGGTTCCCGTGAACGTACAATTCAGCTCAAGCGTACAGTCCCGTCATTGTACGTTCGCAATTCAGTAGAGCAGCAGACGCGGGAGAAAAGTTTTGAGAAACAGAGGTCGATAAGCGAAAAGAATTACCGAGTGGAAGAAACCAAAAAAATAAAGCAGATAGAAAAAAGCAAGCAAGTTATCGGTAGCGTCTGTTAAGCACCAAAAAAATTTTTAAGACTTTCGGCATACAAAAGACTTTTCCAATAAAACCCGGTATATACCTGGAGGACAAGGTGAACCGGCGACGTCGCGGCGCGGACGTCCCGGCAAAAAGAAGTCCTCACTCACTTTCAGCCGGTGTGACGAGCCTGCCGGATATTTAACACCGAGTGTGGCGACGCGTTTCCAAGAATAAGAGGAAGAACAAATCTTGTTTTCCAGTTTGATAAAAAAAATTTAAAAAAAAAAAAAAAAAAAAAAAAAAAAAAAAAAAAAAAAAAAAAAAAAAAAAAAAAAAAAAAACAATCCGTCACGATACCAGTCAATATCATGAGAGCCGATTCGAGGCAGGTACGATTTTCGGTGCGGGGGGGCACGAATCGATGGAGCATCTTGAAAAGAGTCTGTGAGGACGAGAGCGAACGGCAAGGAAAAGCGACGCCTAGCCAAGAGACGCGAAAGAGACGCTAGAGCCAGAGCAGTAAAGTCATGGTAGGCTTGACTGGAGGAATTCAGCCTGTGATATTTATAAAGCGTGTTCTGGTGCTCGGCTTCAAGTATATAGGAGTCTACGAGCTAACTGTAACCGAGCCTCCCGCTTGGGCTTCCTCTTCTTCCCTTCGCTCCCTTCATCCGCGACTATCGTCTTCGCCATCCTAAGGCGACTCTAGGTGTATCCTACGGAGAGCGGATATCTTGTTTCTCCTCTAGGTAAAGGAGAGGGAAGACAAGGTGAAAGAGGGAGCAGCTGTGGATGCGCCAACTGCAAGAGAGATTCTAGACCACGCGGAGACCCGGTTGGACTAACAGGAGCGGATGAAAATTTTCATAATTATCATTCGGATGGACCAGAGAGAGAGAGAGAGAGAGAGAGAGAGGGAATGGCACAAGACAAAGTTCTCTTATTTCCAAGGGAGCGGAAGCAAGAGCGCAGCTTCTCAAGAGAAAGAAAGGAATAATATAATGAGAAGGGATCGGTGACGCCTACCGTGGAATGGACGTGGAATGGACGTAACTGAGGTCTCTTGATTTTATCATAACTAGGCCACGAAGACCCGAAGGAGCACAGTGACAAGGAAGAGAACTCCTCCGTTAGGCTACGAGGAGATACCACGAGGAAAAGTAAACAAGAGAAAAGATAAGAAGACAAGGAATAAGGAGAGTCGCGTAGATCGGCAGCCGAAAGTTCGCGAAAAGAGAAAAATGCCAAAGTTCATCCTGAAACCGGAAATAATCTCGAAACAATTGAGTCTAAAATTGAGGTCAACAGGTCACTGAGCATCCCTCGATCAGGCAGGAGTATCCGATTTAACTGGACGATACTTGGTTCTTGCGCGTATAGGAAGCGCAGGATAATTATTTAACACGATTAAAGAGCATCTTCTCTTTTTCTTTATCTTTTCTATTCTGTTCATCGCCCAGGCACTGACCCTCGTGAAGACCTGCGAACCCGTCGCCGAGATGCGAGAGTGCCGAGCGCCACGCGACTGGTCCCTCCTGGCCTTGCAAAACGTCCGAACCGGAAAGTCCCATTACTTGGTCATCTGCCGTTGCCCGGACACTAATATACTGGGTGAGTCCAAATTACGTATGAGAATTTATCCTCGCTTCCAGTACCCAATCCTGACGTCCATCTGGGTGCAGCTCAAAGTTCAGGTATCTCGTCAGAGTCCTGGTGGGTCTTTGGATATTCCGCATGACGTTCGTCTAATTAACGTGCTTCCCTTTTTTCTTTCATCTTTCGACAGAGGGTCCCATGAGCCACGATCAGCCGACCTACGCCAGCGTACCTGGTATCCGGGTCTACGGGATGATGTGCGTCCAGGGTAACAGAAGAGGACGACCCTTGAGACACGTTCGCAGTTTGCTCGGTAGGAGTAAATATCCTGGGAGATCCTTTCCGGATACTGAGACCTACCCAAATGAATTGGAGAGGGGTGGGTGGTGGGTGACGGGACAGAGCTCCGGGAGCACATAGAAATTTCGTACGAAGACGCGACGTGACACTAAGGCTTCTCTCTCAATTTCCTTTTTCACATTTTTCGTCATCCGCATCAAGCTGTATTTGCAGCGATAAGACATTGTAAGAATTCTCTCAGAGGAATTGCCCGCTGAGAATGTCGTACGGATGCCTTGAGGGGACGTTCTGGAAAGTATTGATAATAAAAAAAAAAAAACGGGGAGAAAGAAAAAACAAAACAAAAATTATGAATGAGATTCAATAGCTAAGTTTACTTGGATGCTTGAGAAATACTTTGAGATCTCAGCTCGTATAAAGCGATGGAGGGGGAGGGGACAGGGGGGC